ACAGACGGACTACCGACAGAGGTCTAAAGACAAAAGGAAACCAATAACAAAAAAAAACAAAAATACATCGATATCCCGCCTCCGAAGTACATACCGATTGTCGCCGTTCTACGGTCGTCTATCGCAGTGATTAGCGGAGTTCGAGCATTCTTATTGCACCGTTCATGTTGTGTTAACAGCACAACAGCAATCGAAGAGTAAGCGTTTATTTCGCGGAGGAGGTCATGGGGACGATCGCCCCTCCTCCCCCCCACCGCTGACAGTAGCGGTCTTACATTGGCATTTGGCACGGTCATGATGGTCCGGAAGTATTGTTTTTCGTAATTTGTTTTTCCTTATCAACCGTCAATATTAAATTTAACCGCATCGCTCCCCAATGGCCTAGGTCCGGAGACGCCTCTGGTGACAGCGCAGCGATAGGTATACGGCTACCGGCGTTAGCCGACAACGTCCCGACCGCGTTTCGTTTTCCGCGCGCGTGGCTAATTATTTTTGATTACAATACGGACGGCGTACAGGTTACCTGGGTGTAATCACATCACGTGGCACGAAATTACAATATTCTAATGATTAAACTATCGCGCGTACACTCGCCGCCCGACTCGTTCGCAGCGTACATTATTACCGCAGCGTAAACAGACTGTATTTTATCACCGCGTACAGACACGTGCCTGTATATTATTTGGATTCTCGCATCCAGCGGCGTGCGCGGAAATTCGGTATGGGGTGGGAGGGGCGATGGGGGTTGTGGGTTTGGTTGGGAGAGGGATATCATAAACGAAAACGTATAATTCTCTGTCTTTATTATCGCGCGTCCTTTTACCATATATTTATATACGGCCGTATATAGATACTTTATGTTCAAGAACTACAAATGTGTTGGGTCGACAGGCCAAATATTATATCGTCCATAAATGCCAATGGAATCCAGAACGGGTTTGGTCGCGTACGGATGGCGGACGGACAAGTAATAAAAGACTTCCTTTAGCTCAGGGCGTCAAAAAATTCAAAAGAATAGACTCGATTCTTGACGATGTGTACGTTGGACAGAAATGCAGAGGTTTGGCGATGGCAGCGGCGGCTCTTAACGGGCCGACAAGCTGAACAACAAGACAGACGGATACTATTACTATAGCACCTGTCGCCATGCTTTTGTCCACTGCGTCATTTTTCTGATTCGACCACTGACTTATCGGTTTTCGGTTACGGTCGCGGCATATGTAATATCCGACGAGAAATGATCAACAGGAAATTCCAAACAAGACATGTCGACGAACTAGAGGTCCGAAATCGTGTCATGTTTGAGGAATGAAAAAAAAAAAAAAAACGGTCGAAAGGGGGATATGTCCCCCCCTCCACTGCGCACGCCGCTGGTTGTATCGTCACATGTTGGCCGCGTGCACCGGCAGGCACCGCCCGATCCGCTGCGACGGACTCGAACAGACAATATAACCTACCTGCGTGTAAAGATACCTGTAATTTTATTATCGCGTACGGACAAGTGACGCTTTTTCCGTACCGGTCGACCGCTAAATTCGTTTTATTCGATTGTTGAACGTTTTACGTTTGAAATATCCGTAGGCGATGCGTAAAAGACTCGCGGCTTTGGTCGAGGCGAAAGCGCGGCCGTAGTGCTGCCGGCGCGTAGTTGGACCGCGACGGGGGTGCCGATTACCACAAAGCGGTAGAGATTCCTGCGAAAACTGCGCGAATATCTGACGCCCGGAGAAGTACCCTGGAAACCGCGACCTCAAAATGTTCGAACCCGCTGGGCCAATATGCTCCCGACCCGTGAAATACTGCGGGGGGGGGGAACGGTCCGGGATCCACCGTATACAGACACGGCGGACGTGTCGCGCGTTTTCTGCTGCACCTATTGGAACGCGACTATTCTAATAACATACAGGGTTCCCGAGAAGATACACCCGTTGTAATATCTTCGAAGATAATAAAGGCAATCGAATTATGTTTTTTTTTTTTTTTCTGTATTTTACTCACGGGGAATACAAAATATACTTACATTGATAAAAGACTTAAAAAAATTACATTTTATTTTTATTATTTTTGAACAATTTGAAACAGTCAGATTTTTAATAATTTTTTTAAAGTTCAGAGAAAAGTACCTATAACAATTACACGCAGCTGGCCGAAATCGCATTCTCCAATTGATTGTTATCGTTACGATTAATCGACTGAGCAAAGTTCTTTTCTCCAAAACAGATTTGAAACGGGTATGTCATCACTGTGCACGGCAGTGGTTCCCGGGGGCCGTGCCTACACACAATTGAACAAAAAACGAAAAAAAAATCAAGTGTTTAAAACCGCGAAAAATTGCGTGGCTCACAATCGTTCACAAAACGCTTGTAATCCCCCAAAAAGCGGTTCGAAATAAGGATTAAAAAGCGTTCGTAAAATCAATAATTGTTCGTATCGACACAAAAAAAAAAAACATACATCCGTTACGCTCAATATTATTTCAAATTATTTTGTTTCAACAACAATACGTACGCGGACATTAATTAAACTCGCGACTATTGTGCGTTGGTCGTTTTTTTTTTTTTTCTGCGTTTCGCGTGTCCGACGTTTTCATTTTGTTTTTTATCGATTCGTTCGGTTTTCGGAAAACCGCATTACCGCGATCCACCCGATCGGTAACAATTAAATTTCGCTACGGGAAACATTGTGAACGCCCGCCGTGTCTGAAATATTATAAATTCAAACGATATTCGCACCGGTACCGTATATTTATAATACGCGGATGTATTAAGCGCGTGTAAATACTTTCAATGCCGGTGTGTTCCGGGAGTTTTTTCGCGTTTAAATATTCATCTGCGTAGGCCGCAAACCAAAACGGTTTTTTTTTTTTTTATTTTTTTATTTCAACAGAACATCTGTTGAAATAAAAAAAAAATAATAATAATACGCTGAATATTCAATTATGCTTTTTATTTGTTTACACATTTTTCAACGTAACAATCGTCATATCATACTGAATATTTATAATGACGTTGTAACGTTAGAAAAAAAAAAAAAAAAACACAGATACGGTTTTATAAGGCGTCTGGAAATAAAATACAAATAACATAAAAGGTCGTTTCGATCGCCGCCGTCGGTAATGCGGTTCTTCGTCGGGAAGGACAAAAAAATAAAAAACAAACAAACGATTTGTTGTGTTACGGATTGAAAAAAAACGCGAAAATTTTCGCCCCCGGGTGGGCTCGAACCATCAACCTTTCGGTTAACAGCCGAACGCGCTAGCCATTGCGCCACGGAGGCTGTTACACGCCGTCGTTATTCACGCGGACTAAACGAAACCGTATAATTTTCTTTTTTTTTTCTCACAACACTAAGCGTGTGGTTTTTATCGTTTTTAACGGCCGCACAGGATATAGTGTTCTATTCCGTATGACAATAATAAAAAAATATAAATGAAAATAAAACCGAAAATAACGTTTCGTAAAAATGCGCGCGCAAAACGATCGTATACATACACTCATGCACCCACTATAAACTATTCGCGTGTTATACGACATTCTAAAACGGCCGCGACGAGATAGGTAATAATATTTTTATAATGCACGGGATGTTTTAACGGCAGGCGGGCATAAAAAAGGAAAAAAAAATAATAATAAACGAAAACAACAACGGTATACCAGATACATCCGCGTATTTACGATTGGACATGGCGGCGTTTGGCGTTCAAACATTACGGACGCGAGTATCGCGATACGTTTTCGGACTGTTATCGTTTCCGGACGTTCACACCTGTGTGAACGCCTCTAAATGTGACTACGGGACACTATATCCCACTGAACAGCGGACGGAATTTCAGTGACCGAGAGCGTCCGGTGTACCCAGAGGCATTCACCGTATTGATAAAATTTAATGTCTTTTAGTTTCGTATTTTTTTGTAACGACTCACCGCGAAAAAGAGAACAGTTTATTGGTTCCAGACTCGTATGGGGGGAGGGGAGGGGATGAGCCAACACCCAAACCGCCCCATCTTGCGCCGCCGGCCGATCGCATGACGTTTTAAAAACCGCGATATCACAATAATAACGCGTACGTTATCCCATTGTATTGCGTTCGTCTAGAGGGGAACATATTAAAACGGCGCCGTCATTCCGGAACTTTAGTAGACCGGGGCCAACGTACCAAACTCGCGGACTGCCAATGTGTGAAAAGTGCTATATGACGAGTAATAACATTTACAGGAACAATTTTATAAAAATGCACACGTTTCGCTCGGACATTACACTCGATTTTCGATTTTCACGAACGAGACAAAAACTATGCTACACACCTGAATAATTTCGGTACGCGATATATTCAGTAGAAAAATGAAAACGAACAATTATTTCGAATTATTGTAAATTAAAATTAAACGCCGTAAATTTGTCTGTGTTATTTTCCTAATTTTCTGCAATTATTATGAAAACTGCGTAGAAAATAAAAAATAATAATTAATTCCTCAACACGCGAACAAAGTTCATAATGATAAAAAAAAAAAAGCTTTCTTGTCGTTTTTCGTTTAGAGCACGATTCCTGGTAAAAAATTTGCGTACGGACTTAAAAGAAATCGCGCATGCCATAGTAAATAAAACCAATACAATTCTCGCTACATCCGAAATCTCCCCCCCCCAAAAAAAAAACAATTTTCGCCGTAACAAGCGATCATTAAAATAAACCAACCAAAAGCGTGCGTAAAAAACTGTACAAACCAAACGGCTGATGTCATCAAATGTTAAGTACGTAGTATTATTTTAAAAAAAGTATATCATTATTATATCTTCTCAAAAAAACCGCTTGTATTTAAGGATTTTTTAAAAAAAAAATAAAAATATTTCAAGTTTCCATTAAGAGTATACTGATACGGTTCATATTTTTATTATTATTATTTTTTTTTTCTTTTCGAAAAATACGCTTATTACGAAGAATCACTACGATTTTGGGCCCGAATGATTTCTACAATAATCAATATGAAATATACAATCGTATTTTGTCTAAATTTTCGGATATTTTTTTCGTTTTTAGTATCGTTTCAGTATTGTCTCGTTATTTGTTTATTCCGTCGGAAAAAAATAGAAAAAGAGAGTCGATACGGCCGATAGGTACGTCACCGGTTGTAGTTGTAAAGTTGGGAAGACAATTTGGCGTGGGTAATATAACTATAATTACGTCTGTACGGTACTGTGAATCACTGGCAACGGGAAACGATTCTGAGCGAAGTTCTGTTCAACACGTTCGTACGCTCCGCGATTTTTACGGTTTTCATACAATTTGTCACTTTAAACGCTTCAAATTGTTTGTTTGAGTGTACAAATAAGTACAATTTTATGCACATAATACCGAACAAAACTCTATTATTTCGAATGTCTACAAATAGTTTAAAAACGTGTTATTGGAGTATTTCGAAAATCGTGTGACGTCTAGAAAATGAAAATTTAAGAATTTTACGAATGTTTTCTCTCTCAACGGTTATTTTTAAACGAATTACAAAAAAAAAAAAAAAACAAAAAAACAAAATTGATATTTGATATCTTTATCCTATTTATATTGCATTTCGATTTCAATATCAATCGTCTTGTTCGTCGATTTCATACGTTTTTCGAACGTATAAAATGACACGACATAAACAACAATTTATCCATCCACTACTACCGTTGCAACGACACGGCAAAAGTGTTCAGTGTACAGAATTATTGATCTGCGCGGGTATTCGGACGAAATTTTGACTTTTGTCTAACGTTCGTGTAGTTACCCGCGCATGCCCATTTCGTTCGGTCGAACGGAATATGATAACACGGTCGGCGTATAGGGTAAGCGCGCACTTTATCGTGAAACGTATAATATTTTTTTAATAAAATTATCGCAATTTGCATAAAAGGTCCGCTGCGCAATATTCATACCTACACCCGTATGCGTAAGTTTACTATTGCAGCCGCGGGTATATAATATAACGCGTCGTTGTGCATTCGTATTATTCGCATGCTCCAAACATATTTTCTGTTACACGGATATTATTGTATAGCGTATATGATTACATTTTATTTATTTTTTTTTCGACATATAATACGCAAGTTTAATATTTTTTTATGCGTTGTGCAGCGTCACACGTTGGTTCGAGAGTAAAGAACCGTCGTGTTAAAAGTTTCAAACGTTATTTATCAGAGAAAACTGATTTAATAAGCAGCGTAGTGCAATACAATACGTAAAATAACATAACAAAACATGGATACATA